TCCTCATGAAGTTAAAAACTAGTGAGTACATGTTTCGACTTTGCGTTATAGTATTATGGAGATCGTTGTTTTTATACATCAATATCATGCATGAATCATTGTTAGACTACAATCAGAAACCTTGAAGCACTGGACGACCGTTTCGTTTCAGTATGAGGCTCATCAGCAGTGAGCATTAGTGATCTCACTGACAGGAATCTAATCGAGGACCTTCAGTCGTGAGAGTGAACGTTCAACATCTGGATCACTGAACTGGCCGGCATCCAACTGTGTTAATGTCCAATTTTGATCGGTCTAAGAATTTTGCGCAACCTCACCCACAGTTTCTGGTTGTTACTGCCTACACCCGACCTAGTTGAACTCCTCTGATTACGTCTTCTCACTAGAACTCTGAGAATTTCCTTACGAAACTAGCCATTAGTGAGTACATCTTTTGATGTTGCATTATGGTGTCATGGTGATCGTTGATTTTACACATTGATATCATGAATGATGAGTCCCAAACTAGGACGAACTGCTTCCAGTGCTTTGATGTTTCTAATGGTGGTCTAACAATGATTACTTCATGATTTCAATATTATACTCTTATTATTTTTTCTGAATAGTTTATTTTGAATTTATGTAGAAAGATGGATTCGCTTCTGCCAATTGCTAGTACCTATTTCACACAGCCAGTCATGTGTTTTCTCTGATTTTAAAGCATGCCTTATAATTTAACTCTTAACTTAATTACTTGAAAGACATAATTTCATTTTGACGGAGTTATCAACGCTCATGGATGTCATTCATTATTCGAGGTTTGTACAATTTATGCATTACGTATCTTTTTACCTCTTGAAAATATCAAAGTCCAGATAAATGCGGTTTATTATTAGTTTCTAGACTTCATACATTGACTGACAGTAGGCTTTACAAACAGAAATTGCCAATTAAATATCTTTGAGTGCCAAAAATCACACCACAATATTGTAGATACATTTCCAATAACAAATACTTTATAATAGAGTGTTAAGTTATTTGTTCAGTACTGATTGCCAGCTGATTATAATCAATTAGGTATATACTATTAAGTTGTTCTGTTGAGGAAACATTATGAAAACAATCAACGCTGTGGCGCGCGCTACTCATAAGCAGTATATGACGCGAATGAAAACGTAATGTCTGGTAGCAGAAGATGAGGGATAAATAGAATTCTCCTTAGACTAACAGAAAATACTGAGAACAGTTTGACTATGAAAATGTTTCTGTGTATAACTGTATTCTAGAATTTTTAAACTGGAGATATTTACACCATACAGAAATAGCGTTATCAGATTGAATTTCAATGACTAGATTTACAGAATTACATAAACTATAGGCAAATATGACGAATATCTATCTGCAAGTACACAATTAACTTCACATGACCATGATGGATTAATATGTTCTTTGATCTTGATACGCTTGAAACTATTACAAGTTCAGCTTATTCG